TGAAGACGGGATCAGATTCCAGATCCCGAAACGTTGTGTATTGTTTTTTTTTTACATTCGTGATGGAAAATGTCCGCAATAAACCTTTGAAAAAAATTTTAAAGAATGAACTAAAAACAATAATCAATAATAACCAACCAAACTTCTCCCTTCTTTTGAGACCATTATGTTGTATTCTGAAATCTTAATGGTAGCTTGATTTCTCTACGAGGTCTTAGTTGTACTTGCTCGTCTTGCCTTCGAACTGATTGGGAATTGTTCTGTTGAGTGAGTGATGGTTTCAGATGGTGGCTATTTCTTCTTAATGCAGCCCCGTTATCATCTTCTAACCAGTAACTTCTTGGAGTTGGTCCTGGATTAACAATCTTTCCCTGCTCCCACCTTCCTTCATTCCTGAAGACAACTCTATCGTTATTTCTTACAACCCTTAAGTCTTTGGTTGACCAATCATAATATTTTTTCTGCAGCGGTTGTCTTGTATTTAACCTGTCTTGTACTCCATCATTCAGCGTTGGTTTCATCAGTTCCTCGGTAACAGGTATCGTTTTCTTACTCCTGCAAACAAACATCAGTTGAGCTGGAGAATATCCCAGATGCTTAACGGGCATGTTCCTAAGCTCCAATAAAGTCATTTTAAAATCCTTATTGTCATACTATACTTTCCCAATCAACTCTTTGGCCGTTCCAACTGCCCTTTCAGCAAGCAAGGATTGTGCATTGCCTGGACTGCGAGTCAAAATTTTAAAATTCCTTTCACGGGCAAATTCCCTCATTTGGGCACTGTTGTAAGGGACATTATCTGCTACCATTATATGAGCCAAATCTACTGAAGATTTCTTTGCATGCTGATATTACAGACGTTGCTGATTTACATGACATTTTAACCAGCTCCAACGAGTTTGAGTAAGCATCCATCATGACTAAGTAGGGCCTACACATTTCCTCCATATGAAAATATGTCACATCCGATATGCTTCTATGGTCTAGTAGGTATAGGATACGGCATAAGGGTTTCCTTTGTATTATTCCTGAAAAACCTTTCACATATCCTGCAACGAGCCACAAAACTTTCAATGTCTGTAGCCATTCGTGGCCAATAAAGTATCTGTCGAGCCCTAGCTTTGCACTTTTCAATTCCTCCATGCGCGATATGGATTCGCTGAAGCATGTCCTGTCGTAGCTGTCGTGGCACAATCAGTTTGTGATTTAAAAACAATAAACCATCTTATTACTATCTCTGGGGCATCTTGCTTCTTTTCTGGCCAAACTTCTTTGCAGTATCTCTTCACAATAGCAGTTTTTTGGTCCTCTTCAGTGTAACACTTGAATAATTTCTTCTTCTCTTAAGTCATAGGCAATGAACTTGTTAAATTGTGTAGGTACTTGAAATTCTGAAGACACTGTCATTTCTGTGCATTTTAACGCTGCTCTTGACAACGTATCAGCAATAAGTTGGCTACTACCAGGTAAGTACTTTACTTTACCAGATCATAATTCAAACATCTTCGTCTTATTTTCTGTAGCCGACCTGGTACCACGTGCAAATCTTGTTGAAAGATATATTTACAAGCGGCTTGTGGCCTGTCTGAATTGTTACTTTATAGCCATAAATAAACCTGTGAAACTTCTCAACAGCAAAAACTATAGCTATAGAGTTTCCTTTTCGATTTGCAAATATCTCTTCTCTGTATCAGTCATTGAACGGGACATGAAAGCCACTGGCTGCCCACTCTGCAACAAACAACACCCTAGGCCATCTTGAGAAGCGTCTGATTGCATTTCAAGAGGTCTTCGAGAGTCAAAGTATACCAAAACTGGTTCACTGGAAATTAATGTATTGATAATCTTCAGAGCATCTTCATGCTCTACGGTCCATAAGAAGTCCACATCCTTTCTTGTCAAATGTCTGAGGGGTGCAGTGATTTTTGCCTAATTCGGTATGAACCTTAATAAACACTTTAGCATGCCAAATAACCTTATTACCCCTTTCTTGTCCGTGGGTGGATCCATTTCAACTATGACCTTTACATAATCTGGGTCGGGTTGGATTCCTGCAGCCGATACTATGTGTCCCAGATACTTAACTTCGCTCTTCTTCAATTGCATCTTGTTTGGATTAAACTTGATTCCAAGTTTAAGGGCTGTGTCTAAATCTCTCTTTAAATTTTAGTCATGCTCTTCCGATGTAGTTCCTCCTACAATAGGCCTAATATCATCATGTACTATTTTAACTCCCTTCAGGTTTCCAAAGCATTTGTAGTTATTTTTCTGGCACAATTCTGGACCCGAAGGGATTCCAAAAGGAAATCTACAAAATTGGTACCTGTCTCCCAAACGGGGTACTGACTGTGCACAGTTCACGGCTCTCCTCGTCTAAAAACAATTTGAAAAAACCCCATCCTCAAGATCTAAAACAGTAAAATATTTGTAACCACTCAATGTTACCACAATATCATCAGTGTGTGGCATTAAAAAGTGCTCTCTCATTACTACCTTGTTCAATGGCACCGGATCCATGCAGATTCTCAAAGACTTATTGGGTTTTTCCACGATCACCAGAGGATTGACCCATGCTCTAGGTTTGTCAACCTTCCGAATTACCCCAGCCTCCTCAAGTTGGTCCAACTTTCCTTTTGGGTTTTCCTGTAAAATGTAAGGTACTCTCCGTGATTTTCGAATTTGTGGGATAGCATCCTCCTTAAGCTGAATATGGAAACTGTCCCAATCCTTAAACAGCTGTCTTGTAGCCGGTTAAAACATCTTCCTTATCTTTGAAATTCAAACATATCGATGACACTCTCTTAATGAGTCCTAAATTGACACGATCGTTCAGTCCTAAAATTGGCAGTTCATGTTTGACATTCACTACAGCAAAATTCACATCTGCAGTTACACATGTAATTGTTTTACTTTTTAACATCACAAGACCTAGTGGTTTGATTGTTAATTTTTCATCTCCCCAGGCTGAGAGTACATAAGAACTACGTTTTACGTGTGTAATGTTCATTTTCCGTACATAACTAGCAGGTAAAATACTGATCACTGCACCTGTATCTAGTTTAAATTTAACTTGTGTACCACTGACAGTCAAGTTTTCCGTCCACGATTTTTCACTTTGACCTTTCACTCCACTAATATATAAGCTTATCGATCCTAAACTAACACCACTCACACAAGGGTCTTCATCGTGTCGTTCCTAGTTTGTAACAGCATGAGATTTTATAGTTTTACTCCTACAAACCTTTGCAAAATGATTTTTACCATCACTTATCGAGCATGTTTTGCCATATGCAGGACATTTACCCCGAACATGTTTGTAGCCGCAAAAGCTACATGGATCATTCTGTTTTTCTTTTGCATTACTCCGCGAAAGTTCTTGATTTGGTACATTATTAACAACACATAGGCCTACACTGTATGGATCCGACTTAGTCCCCGAAAGCTTAGTTTCATTGTGCTCTAAAATAGTCATACATTTCTCATTGCTACTCTCTACAATCATACTAAATCAATAACTTTTTTCAAGTCAAGTTTTGTATCTCTTAATAGACACTCTTGAGTACTTTTATCTCTTATACATAAGACAATTCTATCTCTAATCATATTGTTAGATTCAAGAAACTCGCATGATTTAGCTGCTATTTTTAACTGCATAACAAACTTACTGAAGTCTCGACCTTCTCCCTGCTTTATTCTATAGAATTTAAAACGCTCAAATATGACATTTTTCAGAGGACAACAGTAAGATTCAAAGTTATCAAGTAAGCAATCAAAACTATCTCTGTCATTACCTATCTTCAAATTTAAAAGTATTATATACATCTAGGCCATCATCGCCTAACAGATTAATCAGCTGCGCAATCTTAATTTCATCCGTAAGTTTCTTACCATGACTAGTAGCCATTAAGTACAGTTCAAACTTCTGACGAAATCCTTTCCAATTTTCACTCACATTTCATTCAAAACTCATAGGTTCAGGCAACCAAAATAATCCAGATACTTCCATTATTTCTTCAAGGTTTCAAAATACACCTGACACCATGTTTTAGTTAGAAAATAAAAAAAAATTGAAGTTTTAACATTTAGAGTTCAAAAGTTTATTTACAATTCCACTCAAGACTAAAACATAAACATGACTGATATTGCTTACCTCCAACTAACATATGATACATTTAACATATGATAATATGTGAATATGACATTATAATACAGTCTTCGTCATGCGGTGCCTCCACCATGCGAGTCCCCAGCCTCTCTTAAAATAAGGTATCTTAAAAGTTATACTCGCTTATCTGTTGTATAGAGGTGAAAGAGGCATAAAACCGCTACAGGTTCGACTGAACGTTTTAATGAAACAAATAAATTTAGAAAACAAATAAGTTAAGAAGGGTGTCAACACTAAATAAGAACTTTGAAAAAACAAAGAGCGGCAAGTAAGAAAAAGATTTACAATGTTAACTTACAAGAAAAGAAAATATAGAATTTAAAAATATTGAGTTATCCACAGATAATATGACTAGCTTCTTACATCATTATAAGTGTAGTCTTTTTCTACATACTATCAATGGTACCTGAAGAACACACACGCACTCCGATCTTCGTTGTATCCCGCGATAATCTAGGTTTTTCCACTCAGGTTCTCCAACTCCAAGATTTCTCACACCTCCCTCTTCTTCATTAGACCTTTCTATTGGCTGTTTATTGACGATAGGACGTGTAGCTTATAGGTTAAAGTTGTTTCTCATAAGTTAGCCTTACCGGTCATCGCCTAGTTCACGTCAGCTCAGAAAGGAATTTGAAAATTGATGCTCATGATGCTGTTCAACTCTGGTAACACCAACTGTTCGACTAAGTGTAATGTGAACAGAGTGTCTGTGTAGGTTATCACCGTGAAATCAGGGTTAATACTCTTTATTAAAACATATAACTTAAACGTAATCTTTCACTGACATTTTATGGCAAGTTTGTATATTAATAAATCGAATAATCTTCTATTTCAGATCGAATATGAAAAAGATTACAGAGATGAGGAGGAGCTGACTAGAAAGGAAATCTTCATGAACAACCTCAACTTCATCCGTTGTCACAACGAAAAGTACGAGAGAGGAGAAGTTACTTTCACTGTAGGAATCAACCAGTTCGCTGACTGGGTGAGATGGAAAAATATCTATATTTTAAATGAACTTAGTAATAAGGTATATTGATACCATATTTATTTTAGTATGACTATAGTATGACCGTATGGGGGATAGTTGGCTATAAAGAGCCTATGTGGTGATATGGTAATAGGCTTAACAGTACATCCCACGATTGTTATTAAAATAATTAACGAATTAAAATACAAAGAAAATAAGTAAGGAACATTATGTACTTTTTCTCCGAAACATTGAAATAGGTACTGGATTAAATCAGATGTTTTGGATTGAACACATGTTTGGATATAAAATTGTAAGAGGCATTGACTATATATAAAGCCCAAAGTATCCATGAACTTTTGAGAAAACTACAAGTCCCACCCCCATAAGCCATATACTTAAAATGTTCGTGACGAGAAACCTTGCGCAAAAGTATCCAATATTTCATGAATTGCCCTTTAAGGTCGTAATTCATTTTTAAAGGGAACCTTCCATGCAAGCCTTCCATGTACCTAATGTTAAAAACTCGAAACTTTTCACGTAAAAAATACTTTTTTCTCTAAGTCTACTATGTACGCAGACGGGAAGTGAAAAAGATAAAATTCACTCTAAAACTTCTACAAGATTCTTATTCAAAGATTTTGCAAAGCAATTCCCTTCAGTTGGACCATATCTATTAAATGTCTACTTCACTGATCAAAAGTCAATGGTTTGTATTCTTGACTAAATTGATTTTAGACCAACGATGAGACCCGCAAGATGAACGGATTCATACCACTTTCTCCCGCATTTTTCATACATCGGGGCTGGAGAAGAGGAGCTACTACGGAGCTCCAGAAGAGGAGTATGTTTGAAATGGACGGGAACCTGGAACCTAACAAGACTGTAGACTGGAGGAAGAAGGGAGCCGTAACCCCCGTCAAGGACCAAGGAAAGTGTGGATCTGACTGGGCCTTCAGTGCGGTAAGTGGCCCAGCCTTGGGTGTAGTGTTTTAAGTGTAGAAATTACAGATAAAATGAAAATTTTGTGTGCAGTCTGTCACAATAAAGGGAACTACTGGTAAGGAAGGGTGAGTTTATAAAAGGAGGACTGAGGTAAAGGTATACTTATGTCAAAAGGGAATTTTCCAAATCCTGGTCGTGTTATTGAGCCCAATGGCGACCTTTTGTTATCAATGACGAAATGAAAAATAGTTCTTGGCCCAGATACTATCTTGATTTTATTATGATCTTCCAATATCATCCAAATTTTGATCTAGATATCGTTGGTGCCTAGTCAGTCTTGAGCTGTGGATAGCGTCTCACACTTCGATACAAAATGGTTCAAACCATACTTTACAAAAAGGAATGAAAAAAGGTTTAAGCCTGTCCTCCCTCAAAATAATTATTTATTCCTTACTATTTGCCACTGGCGTGTACTGGAACCAAATAATAACAGGATGAAAAAAGTAGAGAAACAAAAATTATACTGTACATAATTTAAATTGTGTTTTTAACAAATATTCAATAACTTTGTGGATTTTTGCACGAATATCATAACTATTTAGGTATTTAGTATTGTCAACTATGATGATACTATACACAGTTAAGTAGTGGCAATAAGAGGGAGTTATGCACATTTTCAATAAATACTAGCTAGCTGTTGGTCAGTCCTCCTGAACCGCGCCCTCGTACCTGCACCCAGGCCAACGACTTGGAAGCGTGAATCCATGTGCAGGCCCGAGGAGCGGCCCACCAAAAACAACAAAGTGAGAACCATGGATGGAGGTTCAAGAAAAACGCACCATTTGAGAGAAACGAGCTGTAATTAACCAAAATAAAAAAAAACAGCAACAAAACATCAACAATAATACATGAAACTCTCAATATACTTTAAATAATTTAGTTACTAATCTGGCCTATTAAACTTACAATATTTTCTTTTAATCATTCAAAATATACTAATTTATAGATAAGACCTTACCAGGCTAGCTTTACTTTTCAAAAAAATTCCTTTTAACAAATCCATTTGATCTGGTAACTATAACATTTCTAGGGGCTCCAAAAGTGAATACTGTAGAAAGGTTGTAAAAATTTAATAATTAAGTTAGGCTAAAAACTGTTAAATAAAATTTGAATCAGATAACAAAATAGAATGCTGTGCTTATAACTATAAAACAGATAATAAAAATGTCAAGTCCATTTGGCAACAGCAACTAATAAAACTATAAATATATAACAAAGAAAACAGGGAACTTGCAGTACGACGGAAATTCAAGGTACTCAGAAGCAGAACACTGGAGCCGTTGAAGCTAGACGGAGAGGGGCTGGCCAGAGTCCCAAAGGAGGCCCAAAGGTGGAAATATTTCTCCGCCATGCTCCCGGTGTCACAGGTTGACAGCTCACATGGGCCCCAAAAGGCGCGCAGGGTGCTCTAAATTACTCTATAACCTCGCAGACTAAACACAAAGTAAAAAACTTTAACCACTTTGCATTTTTCATGTGCTAAAAAAGCGATTAAAAACGATGAAAAGTGTTTGCGAGGTTAACTAGCTGATTGTCACGCAACCTCTGACAATCCTGGCACAGGGGAGAAAAGGAGACGCACAGAGTCATTGAGTGGAACTTGAACAGCAACAAAGCGAACACAAACTAACCTACTATACAAAAAAAAAACACTTTGACCGTAGCTGGGCGTAGAGGAAGCCATAGTCCAAGGTAGGCCAGGATGGTAAGTTTCTTCGCCGACGCTCAAGGAATCCGTCTGCCTCTCCTCCGGGGTGTCATATTCGAGTCATCCTCCTGGGCCCTGAGTAACAAAGCCCCGATATCTGGTAGTAGGAGTTCAAGTCCAAGGTTCTTACATAACACCCGTCACTGTCACATTTAAACCATTCTTCACTAAGTTCTAGAATTTCACTAGTTAGGCCTACCATATACATTTTCAAAAAGGTTTCTAAAATTTCTAAAGGTATTTCTTTTAGCTTTTGAACATTTAAAAAATGTTTAACTATTCAAAAGGTGGCCTTTGTGACCAAGTAAAACAGCTAAATTCAACTTGTATGTTAAGGACAAAGAAACAGAATTAAATTTAAAATCACTTGATTGGGTCACACACATTTTGAACTTTTACAAGACAGTTGGACAACTTTAAACGTGGACTACGATAAAAACAGACACCGCCACAATCAGACAACGGTAAAAGCAGACAACGATAAACCTGGACACATTCAAATGTGTCCAAGCTTAACGTTGCACGCAAACGACGAACCTGGACACGTTTATAAGTTGTCCAGGGGTGGCGTTGCACGACACGACGAATCTGGACACATTCAAACGTGTCCAAGTTTAACGTTGCATGCAAACGACGAACCTGGACAAGTTGTCCAGGGGTGGCGTTGCACGACACGACGAAACTGGACACATTCAAAAGTGTCCAAGTGTAACGTTGCACGCAAACGACGAACCTGGACACGCTTAGTTTTTGAACAGACTGTACACCAGGCTCATCAAATTCTCAGTCTCGCTCGGTTGGTAAACTCTGAATGAGCTTCCTAAAACAGAAATGCCGCGAATACGCCTTATTGTTACAAGGCTTCTTTCTAACACACTGTTACTAATACACTGTGTTGTAGTGACTCATAGTCCGCGAAACACATTGCACATTATAAATTCGGAAATTTAATTGCATGTTTATTTGGTCGTTAGAAATGTTTGCTGGATATTAATCAAAAATTAAAGCCTATGGGGCCAGTATACCCCGTTTCCCAAATGAATGGATCAAATCTACAGCTTAATATACGTGTTGCTAAGGATCGTAGAAAAGTTAATTAAGGCTCATTTTTAAGTTTTATATTTAAGTGATTTTTAGTGCCCTTCAATAATAATTAGCTGTCCATTGTTTTTGGCATGTTTGAATGTTCAAAACATACATTTGTAAATAACATTTGTAAGCTTCACTGGTCTATCGTATTAACTCTCAGTATTGTTACAGTTTTATCACCGGAATAGGTCTTTTTAGGTTCTAGTATTGGAGTTGTTGATCCCAATAATCCTCCAATTGAATGTTTTTGAGTAAAATCAATATAATAGGAAGAAGTTATTTCAGCTTGCATGGTATTGTTATTTCCTCTTATTGTTATATATTCTTTTTCTGATTCCTTTTGAACAAGTTCGTTTAGTTCTTCGTTTTTCATTTGTTTTTGTAGATGAGTGAACGAAGTGAACGAATCTATGTATCGTGTATAGCGGAGTCGGAGAAAAGTTGTCCGCTTGTCCGTGTGTGTGTGTGTGTGTCTGTGTGTGTGTGTTCGTTCACTCCAAAAACTCAAGAATCGTCGCACTTATAGCGTTCAAATTTTGCACAAATAATTATGACACCAGTGGGAAGACACCATTAAAATTCTAGATGATTCCGCTCAGTATTAATTATAAAATACTTAAAAAACATTTTTAAATTTGTCCCTTAAGAATAACATTAGGAACTACCTTCTTCTTTGTATTTGTTTACGTTTTGCGACCGACAATTTTGTTGTCTACTTAAGACAGAGAGAACGACTTTTACTCTAAGCTCTTTCATTCATGGAGTAAACAGTTTGGCGTCTATGAATATATATCATTATAATTTCACAGCTTTCAGAATAATGTTATTCAAGCTAATTAATTTTCACAACTTTCGGATTAATAAATTGAACTTAACAATATTAGTCGGCAGTTATAAACAGTTTATGTTCAGTATTAAAATTTACCTTTAAATTAAAAATATATATGCATGTATTTAGAACAAAGCAGCTTTTTACATTATTCAATTTAATGTTGGCATTGAATATTAAATATTCAAAAATATTGGTATATCTTTATACTAAAAAGCTATGCGAGGGGGGGGGGCAGGTCCACGACGTAGAGGGTGGTAAAGGAAGCGGAAAGGTGAGCAGTGAAAAGAAAGGAGTACGGAAACCCTTTATTAATTTAATGTATCTGTAATACTTAAATGCTATGGAAATATAGGGAAACAGGTCTACGAAGTAGAAAGTAGTGAAGTAGTGAAGGAAGTAGTCAAGGCTAGCGCTGCGGAGTGTGGGAAGCCTTTGTGACAGTTAGAATAATGTATCTGCAATTCTAAAAATGCTATGGGAAGGGAGGGAAACAGGTCCACGACACGTAGGAAGTGGTGAAGGAAGTAGTCAAGGCAAGCCATCCGGAGTGTATAAACCTTTGTGACAGTTAGATTAATGTACCTGCAATACTAAAATGCTATAGGATGGGAGGGAAAATGGTCCACGACGTAGGAACAGTGAAGGAAGTAGTCAAGGCGAGCAGTCCGGAGTGTAGAAACCCTTTGTGACAGTTAGATTAATGTAACTGCAATACTAAAATACTATAGGAAGGGAGGGAAAAAGGTCCACGACGTAGGAAGCGGTGAAGGAAGTAGTCAAGGCGAGCAGTCTGGAGTGTATAAACCCTTTGTGACGGTTAGAATAATGTATCTGCAATAATAAAATGCTATGAGAAGAGAGGGAAACAGGTCCACGACGTAGGAAGTGGTGAAGGAAGTAGTCAAGGTGAATAGTCCGGAGTGTGGGAACTCTCTGTGACAGTTAGATTAATGTATCTGCAATTCAAAAATGCTATGGGAAGGGCGGGAAACACGTCCACGACGTAGGAAGCGGTGAAGGATGTAGTCAAGGCGAGCAGTCCGGAGTGTGGGAACCCTTTGTGAAAGTTAAATAAATCTATTTGAAATTCTAAAATGCTATAAGAAGTGAGGGAAACAGGTCTACGATGTAGGAAGCGGTGAAGGAAGTATTTAAGGCGAGCAGTCCGGAGTGTAGAAACCCTTTGGGACAGTTAGATTAATGTACCTGCAATACTAAAATACTATAGGAAGGGAGTGAAACAGGTCCACGACGTAGGAAGCGGTGAAGGAAGTAGTCAAGGCGAGCAGTCCGGAGTGTAGAAACCCTGTGTGACAGTTAGATAAATGTACCTGCAATACTAAAATACTATAGGAAGGGATGGAAACAGGTCCACGACGTAGGAAGCGGTGAAGGAAGTATTCAAGGTGAGCCGTCCGGAGTGTAGAAACCCTTTGTGACAGTTAGATTAAAGTATCTGCAATAATAACATTCTTTGGGAAGGGAGGGAATCAGGTCCATGACGTAGGTAGTGGTGAAGGAAGTAGTCAAGGCTAGCAATCCGGATTGTGGGAACCCTTTGTGGCAGTTAGATTAATGTACCTGCAATACTAAAATACTATGGGAAGGGAGGAAAACATCTCCACGACGTAGGAATTGATAAAGGAAGTAGTCAAGGTGTCAAGGTGAGAAATGCGGAATTTGGGACCATTTGGTGACAGTTAGATTTATGTATCTGCAATGAAACAGTTACAATACTAAAATGCTATGGAAAGGGTGGAAAACAGGTCAATGGCGTAGTAAGTGGTGAAGGAAGTAGTCAAGGCGAGCAGTGCGGAGTTTGGGAACCGTTGGTAGCAGTTAGATGAATGCATCTGCAATACCAAAAGGCAGGAAGATTGATCTCTATAGTAAGAATTATAATGCTAATTATTATTATTTGGGAAGGGAGGAAAACAGGTCCACGTCGTAGGGAGTGGGGAAGGATTTGGTAAATGCGAGAATTCTGAGCGTGGGAAAAGTTTGGGGTAGTTAGATTAATGTACATGCAATACTAAAATGCTGGGGGAAGGGAGGGAAACAGGTCCACGACGATGGAAGTGGTAAATTTGAGCAGGGCGGAGTGTGGGAACCGTTTATGGCATTTAGATTCATTAGTTAGATGAACATTTATTGGATTTTTAATAATTTTTAGATGATATAATAATTAACAATTAATTTGTATAATCCTCCTCCTTTTTTTATCATTGACCATATTGTTGGTTTCTAGTTTTTTTTTATTAGTCCTTCTTTTTCTTTTAAAACTACCTCCTTGCTTTTAGCCCGTTCGTTTTCGGCCTCTTCTCCTCTTTCCTCCTCCAAACGTAGTTTTTGTCTTCATTGCTGCCGTTACTGCCAAAGCTGCTGATTTTTCACCAAAACTTGCGTCACTAGATTTTACTCTTTTCCAAGTTTTTTCAGCAAGTGCTCTATCCGCTATGGATCTATTTTTTGTATCTGCAAACTTTGAATATGCTATATCGTGCTGTTTGCAAGCTTGATCTAGTTTATTTATTCCAGAATCCCCTCTTTCTAGACGTTTTTTCAATTTTGTTCCAAGTCCACAGTATTGATATCCTCCGGGCAAATGCAGTTTTACTGGTAGTAAATCTATTGTTTTGTTAACAATTGCTCCAATTGGCTTAGATAATAGAGAAACTGCTAATGATGTCAACCCTCTTCCTCTCTTCAAGCTCTCTATATCACGACTGATGTGCTTAACCTTTAACATCTCTATTTATAGGGGAATGTACCCACATTGGCTTCACTCCTTAAGTGTTTGACAATGAATGTTTCATTTACAAATTGATTTCTCATTATGTACCTTTATTGATATGTTCTAATAATACCTCTATCAATCCACATACTTTTTGTATTTTCATGTTCTTTGTTATGTTTTGAATATGTTGGTATCATATTGTGATAATCAAACATTATATCAGCCAAAGGTCTAGCAAAATAGTTTACATTTTTACATTGACGGTTTGAGTCATGTTTTGTAGATCTAGAAGATTTGTTATTCTTTTATTATTACATGTGTATACTTCTTCATTTTGTTCATCTTGCTCATAATTGCTGACATTTTTATAATTTTTTTTTCATTTACTGTATAAATCTGTATTAAAATTGATACTTAATTAAACAATTCCCATGTTTCTAGGTTGTTTGGTTATTTATTTATTTTATCTTAAAATGTGTACAATAATTAAGACCACCCTGTATATTTTTTTATACAATGGGTTTAATGCTCTATATATTTTGTAAGCTGATCTTTAAGAGAAAGTGTAATGTCGAAGGATATAAAGATTTCAATTATAGACACCGGGTAAAAAGGAGGTATGTCAATCCTACTGGGACTGTAAAGTTTTTTTTTCTTTTGGAAGCGTTTGAAAACAATTAATGGCTGATTTCTCAAATTCGCATTTTTGTGACATTCCCTTTTTGGGCCGGTGTCATCATATTTTTAGTCGAGTTTTTGAAAAACTAGGAAAAATTGTATAGCCTACTTTTTTACTAAATGTTTTACTTTTCGAAATTCTCACGTAATACGTTCTACCTGTTTCAGGTTGGAAGTTTAGAAGGACAAAACTACCTGAAGACAAAGAATTTGGTGTCTTTGAGTGTGCAGAACCTTGTTGACTGCGGCGATTATTATCATTACGATTTAAGAGGATGTTCTGGAGGAGATATAAAAGGTGCATATGATAGCAGAACAAAACTTGGAATCAACACCGAGGCTTTCTATCCTTACGAGGCTAAAGTAAGCTGATATAAGGAAATATGTTTCCGGGATGGAGTAATAGTTTTATTTTAGTAAGTTCCCCTAGACATTTTTATTGTTCCATATTAGTATTATGTGGGTGGACATAGAACTTACATGGGCTCTTATAGTGCGTCAAATCGTGACAGTGATGGGAGTTCTGATTTTTAGCTATTGGTTAAAAAGTACTTGGCGGCTTGGAGGATCGAACCCGGGCCACCTGGTCGAGGGACGAGTACGCTAACCATTGGGCTACGACGCTAGTTAATAGGATAAGAGTGTAACGTGGTATAATAGATGGAAGTGACTATTTTTTAGAGGATAAAAAGTACTAGGTAGCTTGGAGGATCGACCCCGGGCCGTCTGGGTGAGAGACGAGTGCGCTAACCATAGGGCTACGATGCCAGTTGATAGGCCAAGAGTGTAAGGTGGTATAAAAGATGGAGGCGTTTTTACAGCCGGAGCTGTAGCTACCGCCGCCACGGTAGCTACCGCAGCAGCTTAAGCTGTCTGTGGTCGGTTGGTTTTGATTTTGGCCACCAGGTGATGGCGATGGAGTTCTGATTTTCACCGCTAGGTGTGAAAAAAATCCCTCAGTGTATGAATTATCCCACGTTTGCCACCTCTGAGGGGGCGATAGTGTCGTGTGATACTGGAAAAAATCCCCGTGGGTGTTTTTGCCGTGCAGTGTAAGAGATTGTCGGAGTCCTTATTTTTTCCGCTAGGTGATTGCTGCCCCTGGAGTGGTGTGTGTAATTCTGATTTTCACCGCTAGGTGTTACAATAAAAATCCTGCGAGTTCCGATTTTGTCCACTAGAGGTTAGCGGGATAAATCCCTGAACCCGTATGTGTTTTGATGGAGTTCTGATTTTGGCAACTAGGTTTTGTTATTGTCCCCCTAACATTGTTTGGTTGTTTGCTACTAGGTGTAAAAAATCTTACCTTGTGGGAAAAATCCCGATCCAATACAGTGGTACAGTGTTAAAATCCCTCTGGGATGGTGGTTCTGATTTTGACCACAAGTTGATGTAAGTTGATGTTGGGATCAGATTCCAGATCCCGAAACGTTGTGTATTGTTTTTTTACATTCGTGATGGAAAATGTCCGCAATAAACCTTTGAACAACATTAACAAGTTCCACGCAGCCTGCAGGACAGGGTTTGGGACCGTCCGAGTGTCTGAAGGACACCCCCAGGTTAGAGTATTATATGATGCTGAACGCCAATCCAGAAATTAATAGCTAGGCTAGCTGGTAGATACGTTAGCATAACACATAATATCCCCCTCCCTTATTTTAAACACACGCTACGAACTAGTCAAAATATATTTTTAACCTCCCTAAAATTGGGACCCAACATATTTGGCAATTTATAATTCTGTAGGCACAGTCTGTACAGCAAGTGTGCCCACACGGCTGGAGGTAAATATTAAGGAGGGAAGTTAAACAACCCGCACATCGGATCTCTCTTGATGGCTCTGGAGCATGGCTAGGGTTGGATTGTCTTTGTTCCTGAATCCAGCGGATGATGCTCAACACTATTGAAAATAGTGAGGACACCATTAGTTGAAGTGTCCCATGGGCCACCATTGTAAACATATTTATATTTTAATTAAATACTTCAATTTCATTCAAGCTCATATCTTAAAAATTCGTATTAAGCCCATTTAAAACCATTACATTAATCCGAAGTAAATCAAATATTACAATTGTCTAATACAAAGAGACATGTAGAATGGCACCGACGAGTCTACAAGTTTCATATTCAAGGTCCCGGGAAATGGACGCACAACCTGACGTCTACAGTGAACTGCTGATCGAAGTGGCAGCCAATCACAGCATTGAGCAATAAAGGGATCATCTATGATTGGACACTGTAGGCGGGGTTAATTAAAATCTGGAGAAAGGAAGGGACAGACGCAGCAAGATGACATCAGTCTGGAAGGAGATTTGCGAGGCTTAGGACGGGGTCGGATCGATTAGGTCCCACTTAATATATCAGGATTGGTAAAATCTGCCACCTGAATAGGCCAAACAACTTCACCTACTCAGCCCACGCCGAGAGAAGAGGTTCCATGGGGTCGCCAACCGCAATCGAGAACCAGGATCAACCACTGAGTCATCTGACAACGGAGACAAGGGGAGGCCTGGACATCACGAAACGTCACCTCGGGGAATCATCTACCCTCAAGATCTTCTCATCGGTATGTTCCTAAATTCAATTAATTCCCAGGACAAAAAGTTTTAGAAGAAAGAAGATAAATTTTAATTATATAAAAAGGGCCTAAGTTAAATAACTACAATTTATTCAAATTAAACCTAACTTAAGATAAAATTTTAGACCTAAAGAAATATGTGATATATATCGTAAATAATTATAAATAAATAATTTCTGCTACACAAAAAAACAACAACAATATAGCCTTAAGGGTTAAACCTGTAAAATAATGTATTTAATATAAATAAGTTATCATTTAGCATTTCGTTCTCAGACGAGTATTTTTGATAGTTTGCTAAATTGTGTATTTGTATGTAAAGTGTATTAATTATATGGTTTTATGTCAAATGCTCGTTCATTTTCAAGATGAGCTGGTTCGCATGGCTCAATCACGTCCTGGTTGACGTTCGTTCGCTACGCTCACTTATATATAGTAGATTAAACGTTATATATTAGATTAAATAGTGAAATAAAATTTAGTAACTTATACAATGGTGTCAATTCAATCAGTTCCTGAGTATTCTCACATATAACTAGCGAGTATACTGAGCTTAGTAGTCATTTTGTAGTCTTCACATTTAAAGTAAAAAACAAAACCCCATAAGTTTACACCATATACCGGTTTGCTAGGCTCTCCATCGCTGAATTGTTGATGACCAATGAGAGGTCGGCTAGGGCCAGATGGAGAGTGTTTATGTGACGCCAGGCCTCCTCTGGACTTTGATCCGATGGCAGGGGAAATAGTCTGTAGTGCTGAAAAATGAATATGCTAAAAACCTATAGATTATAACCAAATTCACACAAACATGTGCACATGTTGTATATAATAATATTGACTTTCTGGAATCTCATCAAAACTCTGACTCTGTTCATAGAGAAATTTACAACTTACATCTTGGTATGGGGGTAGGTTAGTTCCGCATTTGCTACCTTCACTAATCCGGGTCCCGTAGGGTGGGTTATAATCTGGTAGGTTAGTTCCGCATTTGACGGCTTGAACAATAGATCTTTTGAAATTGTAAAGAGTAGTGAAGCGTACAAAAAAGCCAGTCAACCGAAATAATCCAAAAAAATAAGCAAGTTCTAAATGAGTTAAAGTTGAAGTTCCAGTTGTAGCAATTTCTCTAGTTTTGTACCAAAGCTGAAGCAGATATTTTTTCACCGATCCCAGCCAGTCAAATCATTACCAACTCGGTATGTACCATTAAACTATGTATAGCCAGCCACCTGTCATGTGAAGCCGCAATCTTAAAACTAAAAAAATCACACTACACCAGCTGCTGCTTAAATACGTATTTGTTACAAAATGCTAATAACTCAGATGGTAAACTAAACCTGTCACAGGAATAACTTTAAACTTTGTCAGCATCTTATAACATATTAAAAATACCCCCGCCACAGCAAACCTGCAGACTAAGCGAATTTCCATTTGCCTAAATTAAATCTATTAAATTTACATTTAAATGAATAAATAAAAAAAATAGAAATATCTTCCTTTTAGCGTTTTTCAGATACAATAATTCTGCTTTATCAAGCGGTTTGCTGTGACAGGAAAATTAATAAAGTGTTTTTTTTATTAAAATATTAATAGTTTAGTCAAAATATATCCATAAACAAAAAAACAACATTTTAAAATATTCTCCACAAGAATAACATAAAATTGTTAATTTCCCACTTTTTGAATTTTCTTCGTTACCAATAACCGTCCAAAAACACTGTGTTATACTAAATTATTTGTTTTTAAGCTCTTAAGAACGGTCGGGAGAGAAATTGGGAAATTTTGTGTTTTGAGAGTTAACAATTATAAAACCCATTTGTTAAAAATATTAAAGACAGACAAGACAAAAATGTATAGGACTTGACAAAAAATGTGTATTTATTTGGACACTGTTTAGAAAATCATAATAATAAAATAAAACATAAGTTAGTTCAAAGAAGGTAGTATTAACATAAGAAAGAAGGCAGGCATGGATTAGGCATGCATTATTACATTTTCTCCCCCCCCCCCCAAGAACTGCGACCTTGGTAAGAGTGTGCCGGAATGTACCCTTGGTTGTTTTATGTCCACAACTCTTATAACGCCATCTTTACCGGGGTAGATAGCTGATATTTTTCCAAGAGGCCATGAATTTCTTTGATTATCTTCTTCTACTATTATAGCCAAGTCACCTACTTGAGGCGGTTCTATTCGTTTATGCCTTTTGCAACGTCTTGATAAACCGCGCAGGTATTCGTGGACCCATTGCTTCCAAAAACTATCCAAAAGTGATCTTACGCGGGCTAGTTGTTTCTTAAATAGTCTATCTTCATCAATATTTACTTTGTAGGCTTCGCGTAGAAAGTGGTTTGGTGTGATCGGCTCAGGGTCCAACAAGTCAATTGATATGTGTGTGAGTGGACGCTAGTTTATAATAAACTCCCCGCGAGTCAAAAACGTCTGCAGTTCTTCATCTTTCGGGTACTGGGCTCGCATGACACTTTTCAATGTTGTTTTTACTGATCTTATCAGTCCCTCCCAACATCCTTCATGTGTGGCGCATGGGGAGGAATGGAATTCCATTTAGTCCCACTCTTTACGACTGTTAGTTGAATATGGGCGTTATTTAAAGACTTAACATTAACATGAAGACGTTCATTGTCTGTTATTACAAAATTTGTATCATTGTCAGAAAACATCTCAGAAGGGCAAGGTTTCCGCCTTATAAACCTTTGAATTGCCATAACACAACTCTCCGTACTTAACGAATGAGCCACTTCGATATGAATTGCACATGTAGAAAGGC